TAAGGAGGTGCCATACAGCTAAAATGGGGTACAGGTTTGATTAAGTAACTGAATGATTGTTTTTGGCTGTAGACTAAAGCTACTTATGGAAAACTGTAAATAAAAATTAGAAGTAGCTGACATTCAGAAATACAATATCCCTTTTAAAAAAGATTAGCAAAGTAGATAATAGTTTATAGTTTTAGAGTCCACCAAAAGATGTTCTTTGAAATATCACCAAAATTATGAACATTGTTTCTTTATTTTTTTTGAAAAGGGATACTGCATCTTTAACACATGTAAAGTTGTACATCACCCATTTTCTACTTACAGGTAGTAGGAGTAAGAATAGTAGCTCCTCCTGGCAAGCAAATCACAGACAGTGGAAAAAGAGAAGCAATGGTGAATGAAAAGCGTGACTCTGTCACATTCAATAAAGCAGAAAAATGTGCGTTAAAAAAGAAAACAAAATGAAATAAAATTCATGTTTTTTTGCTTTGCATTTTAATTTGCTCATGCATTGTTAGATCTTTTTTTTGCCATGCAATTAAACAGACAGATATGCCATAGAAAAATAAAATTTGAAATACATAATTTAGAAAAAAGAACATGCTGATATTTCTTTTATTGCCAAAAATTGAAAAATTAAATGGATTGTGTATTTTCAACATGCAGTTACGCATAGTATCATCCATTACCATTTAAATGTCATGACAGATGGAACAGCTGTGTATAGAGCTTGTATACTAGATTTTTTCTTTAGATACAAAACATAAAGATCTATTATATTAACGTTTTTATATGCAGAATAATACCTATAGTTCTGTAAATAAGTCATACCTTAAATGGTACACAGGTATATATACATACACTATGTGAATATACATATGTACCAAAGAACTTATACACAAAGATAATTCTACAGTAGATGCATGTGAACATGATGTCATGCACAAACATTTACTGTAGTGAAACATAATTTCAAATTTATGTCTGGAATTAGTAATGTGTTCATGCTGCGCATTTCATATATAATACACAATCAATGGAAAAATGGTATAGATTTGGAAATAATTCACCAGCAGTTAAATTAAAAAAAATGACATTGCGTTCTGAAAAGATGCAATATCCCTTTTCTTAGCCTAAAAACTTACTTTATATATACCCTCAGTTGTAAACTTTTACTGCGTTGAATTCCAAACCGTTCTTTTATAAAACATTGAAAAACACACAGAACTTTCTTCAACATGAGAAATATACCTACATATACTATTCCAAGTAAGGTATAAACTCTTGAGAAACTTAACAATTTCCCATAAAAATGCAGACAGTCAGAGGCTAAAATATTTCCTACTATTTTTATTATAAATTTATATATTAAAAGGGAAGCTATAGTATATGCTAATTTTAACTAAACTTGATAATATCTGAAACTGCTATAATATCCATGCTTTTGTGTATGTATAATAAACCTACTTGAGTTTAAACCATATATAATCCATGTGTGACACATACTACATAATAGTATGGAGTTCAAGTAATTTAGATATAATATTACACAACAGAAGATAACATATGGAACTTCATCCACCTATAAAATTGTAACTTTTCCTAGTCATAATGGTGCTGGTGAGGGAGAGAAGCCAAAGCTCTAGGTACTTTCTATTATTTAAAGCATAATTATGAAAACTCAAATGTTAACATTTTGATAGAGGCTCATTTATCCAACCATTTAAAATATGAACCAGAAAAAGAATTTGTTACGTTATGCAATTATAGAGCTGTCAGAGCATTTTATTCACCCCCCAAATCATGCTTAGTTACTGTTTTAACATAGTTCAAGAAGTTTAGTTTTCAAATTGTTTGTTATTTCTAAAAGAGAGAGCCATAGATATGGTGAGCTACTAAAAACTAATAAATGTTTTCCAAAAAATAACAAATAAAAATAAGCTCATTTCAATTCTGAGTGAGGACACAATCAGAAGTCACTCATGCTCACATCCATCCAATCTGAAGTGATTAGAATAAATTTAATTGTGAAGCAATGTTTATTTAACTCTCTAAACTGTTTAGTTTATGCCACTTTACAAATATAAATGTAAACTAAACAGAGAGATAAGATCCCAAGTTTCTATTCTATGATTTTATTGATCTTTATTGGAAAATTTATGTTTCTAAAGTATTTAAATCATCTTGTCTCACATATGATGTATTTCCCAATCACAGAAGTAGACAAAAGCAAAAAGAGAAAGCACTATTTGGGGAAAGCACGTATGTAGCTAATTTAACACAAAACACTATAATGCATACCTAATGTTTCTAATGCAGATGTGTCTTCTCCAACATATATATCTCCAGGGGATAATTGTAAAGAGGCAATATATTAAAATAAACTCTGATGGAACTGTTAAAACATGTAGTATGAGTCTTATCTATAATGTTAATGCTTTACTTCAAGTACAAACTAGTTACCATAGTAACTATTAGATTTAATGCAATCTAAGCAACATCATTTACTATATTATTCAATAGAATTCATAAACTATGACCACTTTGATACACAAAACTGTGAGAATGAACTCTGAATGTAGAATTTTTTTTTAAAGTCCTTCCAGATCAATGCCTCATCCAAAATATGTAACTGGAAGGACTGAATTGCCATATTACTTTCTAAGACAGCGATTCACAGATTATGACATTATATAATGGTCAAAAGCTCAAATTATAAAAATTGTATACTTTTAAATATTTTTTCAGCAGGAATATACTTTAATTTTTAGAAGAGACCAGTAGAAGTTTCAGCAGATCTTAATATCTTTATGTGTTTCCAAAAGATGGCAATATTGGTTGATATAGGAAAAAAAAAGATAATGTTCAATTAAAATATTTACTCTTCACTTTAAATTTTTAGTCAGTGAATATTTAATATACAATGTCATTAAACAACATTTATATTTTCATATCTTATTGGCAGCTGAGCTTTAGAGAAATACAGAATAACAATATAATTCAGACTCTAGTCCAAATGTACCACAAAATATCCATATTTTGTCATTCTTAATATAATATTTCAAATATAAGATAAAATAATGTCTTAAGTGTCTCTCTGCATTTGAGAAATTTAAGTTCTCACATTTATTTCAAGGTTAAAGAAATATGTTTATATCCAAAATAAATTCTTATTAAACAAATAAGAATTTATTTGAAAAGCCCAATAACAAGTAAGAATTTATTTGAAAAGCCCAATAGTAGACTTCAGTGCTGGCAAATTTTTAAAATTAAATTCTTCTCATTTGTTGGGATTTAAAAGAGTTCAAAGGGAAAAAAAGTATTTGAAAACTAGTGATATAAAGAGTATGTGAGCTGTGCAGGACAATATCAGATCTTACCTCTTTTTTACAATTAATATGACAACTAGGAGGAGGAGGATGAACACCAATATTCCAGCACTAATTCCTGCGATTTTCACCACTCTGTCTGTCTGCTTGGCAGGATCTGGGATCACTTCTGGTTCTTCTGTTGCTGCTGCTAAACAAATCAGAAAAATAAGTTACTGAAAGCAGCCAATTATCACAGAAAGGAAAATTATCACCAGCTAACATTTACTATAAAAAGACAATTTGTAGGGTCTGGGGTTGTGACTCAGTGGTGGAACACTTGCCTAGCATGTGTGAGGCACTGGGTTCAATTCTCAGCACTACATATAAATAAATAAATAAATAAATGTCCATTGACAACTAAAATAAATAAATATAAAAATAAATATATTTATTGGATATAAATAAAATTTAAATTTATTTATTGTATTTAAATAAAAGCCACCTGAAAATAATATATATATATATTATTTATATATATTATTATAATATATTTATATTATATATATATATACGTTTGCTAAAGTACAGCATAAGACATTTTTGGTCAAGTGGAAAGATTTCACACTAGATTTTTTTTTTTAAAAACAAAAAATAATAAAAAAAGAAAAAACCCACAGAAATAACTATCCGAGGGAATGGCAAACTATTTTTCTCCCAAGATCTTTAAAAGTCAAAATATTGGATTTTTTAGCAAATAATATACTGGGAAGAAATGAGGTCAGATCTAGATTCGTCTGTTTATCAATTCATTCAGCAAACACGTCTAGACTCAGTGCAAAGTGCTATTCTTGGTGCCTTCAAGTAGTGTCAATGACATTAATCTAAGCCAGAGGGTTAGGTTACATAAATGCCTAATCCAATTGCTAGAGGCATAAACTCATAACTCAATATATGAGATTTGAGATGAAGAGTTGGTTTTGCAGCAAAAACAAGTATTAAAGCAAAAAAAGATACATCCAAGAATATTCCACATTCTCTTAACAAATAAGATCCAGATAATAAACTCGGGAAACAGAACTTGGAGAAGATGGTTTTCTTTTTAGCCTCACTTCCTTTCTTTCTCAAAACCACACTCACCCTCATATATGGACACAATTAAATTTAGATTCTTTAGTCAATATATTAGCCCTACTAAACTCTCTGAAGACATTTTCCTTTTACTTCATTTGCCTTGCAAACTGGCAGAGAAAGTATTCTTATTTATACTTTAAAGATATAAAAACTCTGCAGGCATAGAAAATGGTAGAGAGATCATCAATTGCTCAAGGACAGGGAAAAATTTTGATACATCTCTTATCTTCTAACCTATCATTTCTCAGAGTCCAAACTAGTAGGCCCTACTGCCAAGAACCTGTGTGGCAAAAGCCAAAGGCATTCTTAGAATCAGTCCTATTTGGGAATTGTCTTATAACACCCAAAATATCAGCTTACATTTGGTGTCAAGAAATGATGGCTGAATAAACAGACATATAGACAAGTCTAAAACTCGAATGTCATCTCTTTCCAAAGGACAATTTCTTCATTCTCTGGAAAAATGTTATTCATTTTCCTATATTCCAACCCTTTAATTAGCTCCTCCTCTTGTCTTCTTTCCTCCTGACTCCCAGATTTTCACATATAAATATGTGTTCCAGTTTTCCCACCAGCCATGGTTCTGCCAAAAGGGCATTCTGATAAGACTATATTTTGATTTTTCCAACTGAGAAATTTGAAAGAACAAATTTACCTAATATTATTTTATAAAATGGTAATTTGAAGTTAAATCAGTGGGAAAGACAGTTTGAGAAAAAGTAGTGAGAACACAGTTAACTTTATAAAGCAACTCACTAGAACTATTTTAATTTCTTTTATTTTAATTTCATAGGATAAAACTTCCCTTTGGACCAGTAATTGGTAACAACTATTCTTAAGCAAACAAAACAAAGTAAAACAAAAAGGAAGCCTATGGTTTTTTTTTTTTTCTGGTAAATGAAGGGTGTTCTCATTTATGACTTAACACTCTCCATACATGCATGCTTCAGGGAATTTCCAACCTTCCAACCTCAATTATGTATAGAGGTTGCTTAGTGCTTAACACATTTCAAAATATAGCTCTCAATTCATCAAAACAAGTAGTAAATATGTTGGAGATCTTTTCCTTTCCAGGGTCAGTGTACATATATATGTATGTACTTGTGACTTTAGAAATCCATTTATATGTAAAACATAGATATAAATACTGAGAACAGGTGGAGTACATTTCAAAATTGAATATAAAATCCAAAGCACATTTATTTATTTTAATTCTTAAATTAGATGTTTGACACCGATACTTCTTCACTGAGAAATGAAAGCAGACTGGTAAGACTGTTTGGTATAAAAATCCCTAGTAAAAACTTCAGTCCATGAAACACATTCTCATTATTCACTAATTAAAGACTACTTTCATCAGGTTTGATCCTTTGGGGTTTTCTGACATACCTGACTCACAGAATTAAATGTTTCTGACAATTCTTTGGAATATGATTTCTTGTGTGCATATAACATTGTAATTTGATAAACTAATCCTGTGATGGTATACTTTTTGTAAAAAATCCAGGTTCATTTATTTGAGTTGGGTAAGAGTGATTTGTCTATCATGATTACAATTATTGTGCAGAGTTGTTTACCAGTATTCAACATAATTTTTAAACTTGAGTATAGAAGTTTAATCAAATTCTCTAAGTACTTATGATTTGGTGGTTACTTTCCCTTGATTATGAATTCTCTTCAAAGTCTTTAATAATGACATTTATTATTACTTTTACTACTATCAGAAATATTTTTTCATACAATATGTCTGTATAAATTTATTACTTTGCATGCTTTAATCACATGTTTTTCTATGTTCCGTGTCCTACTAGAACAAAAGAACATAAATATCCTATTTAAAA